CATTTCCAACATTCTTGATACGTCTCCTTTTCAAGTAACCAGACCAACGGAGCCTCCTTTCGATAAGCCATTCCGAAATTGGTGCTACCCATAAAGTGGCTCTCATGGAGCTGTTTCAGATGTGGTCTGCAGACACCACACATCCATATCAGCATTGGCATTTCTACCGAGTTCAGCTGTTGCCCGTGTCTCATCAGCGTAGCCAAACATACCTCTTCTAAAGAAGCATCTGCCGTACAATCGTTCTGTGTAACACCTTTCCGTTCAGTTTTACGGCTACCTTCTTGTCGCACAGTGATCCGCTCACTTCTCTCCAACTGAGCCAAGGTTTATTTGGCCGATTTCTTACTTCGCTGTCGATTTCCATATTATTTTGCAGGATATAACCAAAGTAGTTGTGAACTCTTGGGTTTGAGGCAACAACCTCCACGCTACTTTCACTAGTTTAACGGTTTCCAATCTGTTTTCCCTTTTCAATCTGTTCCTGATATACCCTGACTTGCCTTTGCTGGGTCGAAGGACATTCTTCTCAAAGGCTGTTCTCCATGAATCGGTTTTTGATTCTATAGCTTCTCTGCATTCGCTGCATGGAACAATGCCATTTCCGTACAACATGCAATATGGGGCTGCTTCCTGCAGATTCTCAGTTATCGCGTCTGTCGCCATCGAGAACGGAAATGGACTCCCACCCGAAAAAAGAACTCTTCTGTTTCTTCGCATGTGCTTCGAACAACCGTTGTCACTCTGTCGTACATTTCTTTGGTAAGCCTGACATTTTTCTGACACAAGCGTCTTTCTCATGCTCCACCAGATTGCTTACCCGGGATTGGGCGAAAAAAGCTTTGTCCTAGTCTGGGAACACCATGTGAGTGTCCTGCCTTCTCTGCCTGTTTCGAGAACTGATCTTAAAGCGAAGATGGCATTCGGGTTCTCCGACCTGGCATAAAGCCAAATTCATAAGTGATGATGTCGACTTCTTTTCTCAACCGTTCGTCCAATACTCCCTCGTGTGACTACGCAGTTTAATTCCTCGGTATTGTTCACAGGCGAGCATGTGCCCTACCAGTTTGTACATTGGCATCAAAATACTTCGTCTGAATGATTCTGACATTTTCTCACATTCCATAATTTTTTGAGCCAAACCAGACCTTCTTGTCCCAGTGCTTTCCATGCTACTATGGGAACTCCGTCCGAATCAAGGGCTATCTTGTTTTTCCTCCTGCTCAAGTCTTGTTCCACTTTCTCAGATGAGATCGTTTCGACTAGGCCCTGGTTTTGTGGGATCCCTTCTGGGTCTCTCTGGGAAGTGCCTTCGTCATCGGTTGCGAATATCTTTCTCATCAGTCAGCACCATTCCGCACTTGTATTTTGCGCACTTCACACTACCGACGTCTCTTGTTCTTCTTTTTCTGTCTTTTGCTATGCGATAGATGTCTTTCTCCCCTTCGTTTGGTGCCAAATTTTGTTTAAGCGTTTGCACGCTGTAGAATTTGCTTCAACAAGGACTTTTTTTGCATCCCATTTTGATATGGGCATATTTTACTCTGTCTTCCTCTGTGTTTGGCAGCTGTTATTTCCTGAACAGCTGTTTCTTCTCTCATAGAGTCTCCCACCAGTCCGCGTTCCACCACTGCATTTCTTTCTGTGCCTTTTGTTTCTCCGATTAGACCTCAGATTGTGCTGGCCACAAGCTCCCACACTTCATCCGCTCCGCTGTTCAAGTCTTCCTTCGTCATTTTTCTTGTAACTTCCATTTTGAACGCTTTTTTCATTTTTTTTCGAGCTTCCACCGCTGTATCTTCAGGACTGTCGTCGTGCCCACCGCCTGAAAGGGCTGTTTCAGAGAGAGAGAGTTCTAGGACCAGTTGCCGGCGCTGGCTTCTCACAGTTTCCCCGAGGACAACCTTGCAATCTATGACGTTCTTAAGCTCGTCCCTTCGAAGTGCAAAGAAGTCGAACTGTCTTTTTCTGCACACTCCTGCAGGTTAGCAGGTAGTTTTCTCTTTCTTGAAAGAAGAAGTTTATCACAGTCAGATCATATGTCGCTGCAACCAGCAGGAAGTTCTCTCCTTTTTCATTTAACATACCATGTCCGTACATGTTTTGCAGTGCAATGCCTATGCTCTCTTAGAATGTCGACTCTTCGGCTTCATTCAGGCCTGTACGGCGGGAGTAGACACTTATATTATCTAAGATACCAGAGGTTTAATAGATTTTTTGGTGTTATAACACATATGTTATATTATATATGTTGCTATGTATATGTTATATAGGTTTTGTT